TTTTGCAGTATTTTGAAATTTGAACATATAAAATATAATTTAACAAAACTAAGTTCATCTTGTTCACTTTAATATTCTTGCTATGCTGTAGCACTCAGGGAGGTACTGGAGGTGTGTCTTTTGCAAACAAAAATGTTTCCGGTTTACAAAAATGAATATGATAAAGTGGAAATTGAACTTCGTGTTGTGCTAAGATGTTTGACATCCAGCGCTCTTTGGAGTATTAACAAAAGTAAAACAGAAATAGGAAAAATTTACTCGGACTTGGGAATGTGTAACATGTGACTATAATAATTTGATAATAATACCTTCAGATATGAACTTGGAGTGTTTGAAAGTGTTGTAGCCATGTGCATTAGGTCTGGATAAAAAACAATAGTTTAAAAACTACATAATTCATGTTTAATTTAAAATATGCCAACATTAGGCTATTACATGTCTTCGAACTAAATAAGTTCCAGATAGTCACACTGTGATAGGAAAAAGATCGTTGTGCAGTGGCTGACCTACATGTGGGTGCGTCTAAGTGATCTTTATGTCCTGTATTATACCTGTGCACCTCTTGTTGTTTCCAAAGCCTAGTACTAAGGTACGAAGGCATTTATAATCTTTTACATCTGGGTAGCATCTCGCAAAAGTAGCTGCTTTTCGATAGATGACCAGCCAGGTTGCTGTAGCATCGGTGATATATGATCAAATTTATTTGTGTTTGTTAGCACACAAGCTGCAAAATTTTGAACAAGCTGTAACTTATGTTTATTTTGTTTGGTGGTTCCAGACCAGACCGTGGAACGATAGAAAAGTTGCTAAACACCAGTGAATTCAAGATGACGAGCAAACGGTCCTTGGAAAATAGATGGCGAGTCCTATTCGCTTGACACAAGGTGGACAGCAGAGAGGACATGAGAGAGTTTACGTGCTCATTAAAGGACAAATTGGAATCCAATATGGTATGCAAGTCATTCACTTTGGCCACAGGCTCTAATAGTTGGTCTAAAAATTTGATTTAGATTTCATCAATTCCATCTGTTCTTGCTTGAAATTGTCTTGTGCCAAATATAAATAGCTCCATCTTTTTTAGGTTGATAAGTAGTCGATTTGTACAACACCAGCCAGCCACAAGCTTTAAATCATCAGAGAGCTGTTCTATAGAATTACTTATACCCCTTGAAAGGGAATGAGAGATATAGCTTTTTGTCGTCCACATATGACTCTGTGTTGCTGTGCTTTACCACTGTTGGTAAGCCATTCAGGTATAGACTGAAAAGCATTGGTCCTAAAACAGATGCTTGCGGAACGCTGTGCGTGACAGCAAGAGGATCTGATGTCGAGGTTCCAACTGTAGTGCATTGCTGACGATCGGTTAGATAGCTCTTAAACCACATACACGCTTGCTTTGATATACCCAAAACAACAGGATGTCGTTTTGCAACAGGATGTTGTGACATGTGCTGTCAAAGGCTTTGCTGAGATCTATTATGACCATTGCTGTCAACTTCTTCTCATTCATTGCCATAAAGATGTTGTCTACCACTGCCAGACCTAATGTCTCAGTCTCGAGTGGAATTTCCGATTACCACTTGATGTTGAGTCAATCTGTTATTTTGTGTTAAATTGTTAAATTGGCCAAGAGCAATCTTCTCTGCAACCTTAGAGAGAACAGGGAGAAGCGAGATAGGCGGTTATTATCTGCTACCTCTTGCTCTCTCCATCTTTGGGCTGAGGGATAACCTCTGCCTTATTCCAGGCAGACAGGAATACAGAATTAGTAAACAAGGAATTAATCAGGTCTGTCAAAATTGGTAAATTATGTGGAAGACAATGTTTCACAACTGAGAGTTTGGCACCTTATCATACCCGGGTGCTAAACTAGGTGGCATTGCCATAATGATCTTGTGTACTTTGAGACAGGAAACTTCTTGAAATGTGAATAAATCTGAATCAGGCAGTGGAGGGATAGTGCTTTGCAGAAGGATATCGGGCAACCTATGCAGCTGAGCAAGTTCAGAGGCTTGGACCGCCTTCCGTCTACAGATGTAAAAAATTGATTGAATTTGTTGGCAAGAACTTTGGTATCTGTCGTATATTGAGTGCACTGCCTTGACTTTTTTGGTAGAGCTCAATGAAGTCTTCAAATTCCACTGCTATTGTTTTTTTATTTGCCACAATTTCTTGATTTAAATATTCCTGTTCTGCTTGACATATTTCTCATTTGATTTCTCTCTTCAAGATCTTAAACCTGAACCAATCCTCCTTGAGCCTAGATATCCTTGCCTTTTTGTGAACATTTTTCCAAGTTGCTATAAGTTTTCTAATATCCTCGGTGATAAAGGGATTCAGTTTTATAATAGTTTTCACTGGTGCGTGGCTATCCAAACAAGTTAAAAAGAAATCATTAAAAGCATTCAACTTATCATCTACAGAGTCCATTAGCTGAACTGCATCCCATGGAATGTGTGCAATGTCATCAGCAAATTGCTCAGATTCATATTTCCAAAAACTAGAGGTGACAATGAATTTTTGAGATGGCTTGGGACTTTCAGGTTTACAGCAACAAAGACAAAAAAAATTATCACTAATAGTTAAATCCTGAACCCCACTTGAGTGAACCAGATTAGGATTAGAAATTATGACAACATCAAGCAGAGAACACTTGGATTGAGTGACTCTCGTTGGTTTATCAATCAACTGAGTTGCATTCAAGGAAGAACAAAGCTAACGCAAGGCTTCGCCTCTAGGGTTTACACAAAGGAGATCACAATTTAGGTCCCCCATCAGAATTATATCCTTGTTTAACGAAAAGGCCTGGATGTAATTAGGCATCAGGTCCTCCTGGAGACAAGTTACACCAATATCCAGTAGCCTGTACACTACACAAACCAGAATAGAACACATTTTCTTGATCTGTACATGAATCCACAACTGGTGTAGCCCAGATGCAGTTATCCCAGTTAAGTCCTTGAGGATAGTTGCCTTTATATTAGCTTTGATATAAGCACACACTCCCGTGCCAGATTTACAAATTCAATCCAGTCTATGAAGCTTGTAGCCTTCAATTTCAACACTTGCATTTGTTACAGACATGTTAAACCAGGTCTCTGAGATTGTTAGTATATCAAAGTTGTTTTGCAATACCATTTCCCTGGTCTCAATGAGGTGTTGGCTGCATCTAAGTGACTCTGCATTCAGATGACTTAGCTTCAAAGGGTTGTTTTGATTGGTATGCATGGCTGGTTTTTGTACTATGTGCCGGTTTTATTTCTATACAGTTCGATTGCACATGTCTACGAGATCCAGGTTTGTGATGGTTTGGTCAATTTCCCATACAAACCAATATTGTATGGGTGTTTGTAGGGCCAGGTAGGGGATGTATGTCTCCACTTAACCGGATAGACAGTCCCATACCATTAAAGCAAGCACATCAATTTGAATAATAAGATATACGGCATCCAAACCATCTCTTCTTTGTGTATCTATAAACATAAGGCCTTAATGGACTTAAAATACTTTGTTCCATCACAAGAGTGCACAGTGGATGAGGATTGCACAAAGCCAACTTGCACTTTCGTCTTTCTGTTTGCATGCTAGGCATCTTTGTAGGAGAGAATAGAGCAAAATTGCGGAGAACCAAAAATCGTGCCTACCCGCCATGTTGTAACACTGGATAATAGTGTTGTGGCCATGAACAAAGGTGTTGTGGTCATGTCAAAGTCTAAAATATTTCCTGATATTTTCTTCTAATAGATTCAGCTCTTTGAGCTACAGAGTTGCACATATAAATTACCCACTCTAAACGTATCTTTAGCTAATGTGCTTAATTGCTTTTTTCTTTTGTTATGCATTGTTTTAAGTAGGCGCAGAGGTGAACATATGTGATTTTGACTAACATTTTTAATCGGCCTCGTACATGCTTATTTTTTCTCCACTTGGCATGAAAAGCATGTCATTCAATAGCTACAAGCCTGATCTTTCCGAATATGAAAACCAATTGTTCATACGCCAAGTAAATCATGTAAAATAGCGTGCTGAAGTTCGATTAACTTTTTTTTATACACCCTGCATACATGGTTTAATGCTCTGCGACTGGACTCTGTAGCTCTGTGATCAGCGGTGCTGCTCCGGAATCATAGGGAGCATGTTCAATTCCTGCTGGAGGACATCGTTAACCAACTATCATTGACTAACCAAGGGTTAACCAACTGTCATTGACTTGTAGTGCCAGTTTGTTCATTGTAGAAGAGTAAAATACTTTGCTATTAGATTGAGTAAATATGGAAGAGGCAAAACCGGGCACTAGCCTGTAATACTAACTAGATAGAGTTAGTATTGGGCCTGAATAGATTTGGGTTTGTATCAGGGTAAGAGGGAAGGAGTACCTGTGCTTCTGTCGAGCTTGGTAGCATCAGTATATGGCAACCCTCATTTACCCTCAACATCAATTAGGGGTCTGTAATACTTCGTTCTTGTTTAAAACCCAGCATGTGTCCATGGGCCCATGGCTGATGATAGTTTTAATTGTCATGATTTTTAAATTGTTTTTCAAGATACACATTTTCTCTCAATAGCAATGTGATAATTTGTACAATATATTCAGTAATGTATTTTTCGAAATTCATTTGTGCTATGTGCATTATGTGAGCAAATAGACCTTACCGATTATTCTCTTTTACCCAATGGCCTTTTTTCCATGTTAACTTACTGCAGATTCAGATTGAGTGTTTAATGACATCACGAGCATGTGATTATTGCAACACTCAAACGCATGTGTTGTCAAGCGGAAAAAGTCTTGTTGCTATGCGGAAGTATTGTGAAGGTGTGGTTGTTTTCGATAAGTTGTTGCGTTTATACTCCGCTTAATATTGTATTGTTTTTATGGATAATTTTATTGAAATTCAGTTTGATTATCAGTATTATTCAAAGAACAGGATCACCCCAATATTAATTGTGCCTTTAGTGTCTGTATTTTTTAAAATTTAAACTAGAAGTTACTATCGCAAGGGAAGTGCTGCCTTACAACCAAAGCCCTGGGATTGATATCAATAAAGTTAATTTATTTAAATTGCCTTATACACACTGTATGAATTTATTTTGTTTAAAAAATATCGAAATTACAACGTGTAATAATTACTATATACTGTAAAGTGTACTTTGGATTTTCATATTATACATGTGATTGTTGGAATTTCACTGCTTTGATGTATATTTACCAGAAAGAAAGTCATACTTGCCTTTATATTTCAGAGAGTTTTTGTGATTTTCATCCAGAATTTGAGAAATTATATATCTTGATTAATGACAGAAGTTGTGAATCTCGCCAATACATAACTCGCACAGAAGACTGGGCCGAGTGGACTCTGGGATAACCATCAGAAGTCAAGAATAGCGTGCTGCGTCGCTTCGCTGAACACCAAAAAGGAATTTTTGGAATACAATATTTTTTCAAAAACAATGCACAACAGTTACATGGAACAGATGATCATCTTTAGAGCATGTGTGATGCTTCAAATTATGCTTATGTTAATGGTAATAACAGAAAGGTTATGGAAATGGTAATAACATGGTGGTACATAAATAATATTGACGGTTAGTGGGTATATGTGCCAAAGTTGCGTCAATGATGGTTCTGACAATTGAAGTTGCAATGTCAAATGCTCTGCCCGAGACATATTGACCACCTTTGTGGGGAAGCTGCTCGTCACTGTCATCATCTTCAGTTCTTTCATCTTGTTTTCCTTGTCGCCATCTTCTTGACTTGTTTGATCATCTTCCTGATCACCATCTTCTATACACTATTGTCCTCTTTCTCCTTATCACCATCTTTACCAGGAGTGGTCATTTTGTTGTTGCCTGAGCTGTTGTCACAGTGTTCTTGTCAAAAGTGTAAGAGCAACTGAACGGGAACCGATAGTCCCAACAAATGAGATTTTACTCTGGAGTACAGACCTAAAAGAAATAAATTAGATTAACTTAACAGTTAAAATTGGCTGTCTTTATTATCTATCAAAATTGTTTAAAATCATGGTATGAACAGGACATCTTGGGTTCACAAATGAAAGAATATAATGCACAAATTTGTAGTTATCCACTACAGAAAAGAAATAAGTAGGGTCCTATGCATCATAAAAGCCCCCATCACCATTCATGCCTAAAATATTAAATTGCTTTGAAGTTGTTAACCTAATTTGCATTACTATTTAACTAATACTGGTAATAGCCTATTCAACTAAAAATGGGCAGGAAATTTCATTAACTTCCTTACTGTATTTTAGCGGCCATAGGATGACGCTTACATAAAAGGTCTTACATTATCACCCAACAGGGAACATTGCAAAAAATTGCATGCAACTTGGATCCACCGACAGAGGAATGGAATGTAGACAATCTACTATGCCACTGAGATTCCAGTACAGTGTTCTTCACCAGAGTCAGTTGATGTGGGATAGGCATGGAGTTCTTGTTTTTATGTGAATGCAGGTTATGCAGATATAGGTATAAACATGATCCTTGACAAGTACCATGCATCTCAATAGTAACTTCTGAAATGACCGCTTAACAGCATACATGATTTGCTATTTTTAATTAATGGAAATAGAAGTTTACAAAATATGTTATTGGTTGTTAGGCCAAAATGCAATGTGCATGACGATATAGGCTGCAGGCACTTTTCAAAAATGAACAGTGCCTGCATCTTTGATAGTCAAGTTGGGCCAGTTTCAGAAGTTGTTTTCTCAAGATGTACATCAAATTACAAGAACCTACATGGGATTTATCTTATGTTTGTGCTGTTAAGTGTCTTAGAAATAAAATCCAAATTTTATGTCCTGGTAAAACAACATTATTTAAGGTTGTATTTGACCACTCAATTAGCAGTTTAATTTATGTTGTAAGAAGTGCGAATAAACTCATAAAAGCACATCATTTGCTGCTAGAATGAACAGTGAAAATTTCAGTGCTTTGATGTACATTTACCAGAAAGAAAGTCATACTTGCCTTTATATTTCAGAGAGTTTTCGTGATTTTCATCCAGAATTTGAGAAATTATATATCTTGATTAATGACAGAAGTTGTGAATCTCGCCAATACATAACTCGCACAGAAGACTGGGTTGAGTGCACTCTGGGACAACCATCAGAAGTCAAGAATAGCGTGCTGCCTCGCTGAACACTAAAAAGGAATTTTTGGAATACAATATTTTTTCCAATTAATTTATGTGTCTTCTGAAAACAGTGTCACCACTTGATGCAAGGCCACTTAGCACAGGTTTGACCAGATGTATTTCTTAATATTTTTATGAATATAAAGATTGTGTACCTCCAATCAATGAATCAAATGGGAATTTTTGCCATACTTTCAATTCCCCATTCATCGTGCACAGCTTTGAATTTCTCAAAGGCGTCCGGACTGAGGATGTACTTAGTATGGTTTGGTATCCGGTTGTTTCGCTGAGTCGTTTCGCCAACAGTCAGTTCGCCAACGTCTCGAGTCGATTCGCCAACTCTC